GTTTCAAGCAAGGAATAAGCAAATCATTCTTGCTTTCGATTTCTAAAACATGAAGATTGGAACCAAATTGAACAACTTTAGGCGACAAGAAACCCATAAAATATGAAGATGGGATTCATAATCTCTTCTTATAAAAAAACAAAAATCTCATTCATGAAAAATTATGTAAAAAAATAAAAATTTTGTTAAGAAAAAAAATTAATGCTATATTTAGTGCCCAGAATGCTTATTTGATAAAATTAATTCAGTGACATCAATCAATAAATTGGTAAGTATATATCACTCGTCAATTCAATAATGAATCAAAATGTTTACTTATTCCGTTAAAATTTTAAGTCAGTCGATACATGTATTCTTTTTCTTTTTTTGATATTATCCATCACTTCATTGAATATTCGACTAGTCCGGTAATAAAGCTCTTCCTATCTAACTTTAATGCAATTGCATTTAGGTACTTGAATTCAAGACCATGCTTGGTGGTAGCATGCATTTTACAAAACAGGCCAAAATATGCTTTTAAAAACTATGATAAACAATAAGTCAAATCAAAGCTCACGTTTTACAAAAACATGTTTGGGAAAAGTGTCTATACATTTAAATTACACAACTTACATCCTTTCACTCTCACAAAGAGGTGGGACCCACAACTTTATTTTTTTTGTCAACTCTCTCTCCTCCTTTATCTATCTCTTTCTCTCTCTTAAAATGACACAACTTTACATCCTTCAAAATTATACACACTTTTCCCAACATGTTTAGAGAAAACTTTCACCTAATTTATTTTCACTTGTAATACCCGTCAACATTATACCTAACGTAGAATAACCATTTTTGCTTTAAAAATATATATATATATTTTTTTTTTTTGTAAATAAAGAGGGGCTAAGCCCCAGAAACAGAAAGAAATTACAAATCAGAAACTAACAAGCTAGACATATTTCTAGCATCAGCAACTATAAGTTCCATCAACTGAGGAGGAGGATCTTTAAAAATCTTGAAATGGAGATTATTAGTCTGCCCAGCTTTAGCTAACCAATGAGCACATTTGTTGTTTTCTCTCTTGGTATGAACAAGATGAATAGTCCAATCTGCTTTTAACCATAATCTCAATCTGCTAGTGATTTGAGAGTCCCTAGGATCTTCATGCTGCTCCTTTAACATCTGGATGGCTTGACTAGAATCACATTCTAGCTCTATTCTTTTTAATCCTGTTCCCCAAAGCAGTTCCAAACCTTTTAGTAATCCCCATAATTCTGCATCAAGAGGATTGCAGGAACCTAAATTACAATAGAAGCTTCCCAAAAAGGATCCATTTTGATCTCTTAATATACAACCACAACTAACTTTTTTCATGCCACTGGAAGAAGCTCCATCACAATTCAACTTAACCCACCCTTGCTTGGGGGGCTGTCCAAACGCTATCGTTGGAATCACCACGGCGCTGATAAATTCGGGCTTGCAGAATCTGTTGGACAAACATCCAAATTGAAGCCTGTGATTGCTCATCATGACAGAAATGATCTTCATGGATCTCCAAATTTCTCCACTTCAACAAAAACCAACAAGTAGTAAAGAAAATATCTCTCCAGTCCTTCACTTTATTGGAGGACCACATGTTATCGATATTTAAAGTCAACCAATCCTGCAAATTCGAATTCATAAAGGAATTGGGTATCGAACTTGTAAACCAAGATTGCCAAATTTTCCTAGCATGTCTACAATCACGAAGAACATGAATAATAGTTTCCTCATGATTTGGACAACTGGGACAGACATTTGAACCTCCGCTCCACTTACTGGTTCTGCTGCGCACTGAAAGTTTAGCAAGCAAAGTCATCCACATAAACACTTTCACTCGTTCTGGTCCATTCCACGACCAAACTTTTTTCCATAAGCTAGTGTGAACATCTGCTGGGAAGTTCATAAGATTACAGTAAGCGACCTTAACCAAAGAAGTTGAGTGATGATTATTGATCCAAACTAATCTATCCTCCCCATTCCTTGGAATAAGCCTGAGATGATTTGTTACTGCATCAGCCAAATCTGACTCCAGAAATTGATGAACAACTTCAAGACGGAAACCATCATCCACCATGTAATCTGCAATTGATTTCTGACTCTCCTCCCACAGCACCTGATTGCTCGACAACTGCTGCAAATTTTCCTCCCATCCCAACCAGTTATTAGTCCAAAGCTTTACTTCAGAACCATCTGCTATTTCCCATCTAAGGCCAGCAAGGAAATTACTCCAACATTTAGCAAGATCACGCCAAAGTTTAGAGTCATATGATTTTGCCTTTATACCTCTCCTTAAGTCTTGACCTCTACCATACTTGGCTACTAAAATCTTAACCCATAAATCATCTTTCTTAGTTAACACCTTCCACGCCAGTTTATGAATATAAGCTTCATTTTGGAGTCGAAGGTTAATTATTCCCAAACCACCTCTATCTTTGGGTTTATACATTTGATCCCAAGCTACTAAATGAGCCCGCCTTCTGCTATCCTGATCTCCCCAAATGAAAGCCCTTTGTATCTGCTCAATTTCATCACAAAACGTTACTGGTAAAAGACCATTCTGCATATGGAAAGAAGGGATTGCAGCAATGACCGATTTCACCAAAGTAACTCGACCAGCAAAAGAAAGGCAATGGCTTTTCCAACCATCCAGTTTTGAACGTATCCTATCCTTGATAGCTCCATAGTCTGCTTTAATATATCTCCCTTGTTTAACAGTAGAGCCTAAATATCTGCCAATACTAGAAGTGCGCTTAAAGCCCATTCTGTTGACAATCCTTGTAGCAACTTGAGTATCAGTATTCGGGGAAAAATAAATCAAAGATTTATTTGCACTAACACTTTGCCCCGACATCTCACAAAAGAGATTAATACAATCCATAATCACCTTAGCTTGCTCCATATCTGCTTCCGCAAAGAGAATGATATCATCTGCAAATAAAAGGTGGGATACACTCGGCCCTCTTCTGCAGACTCTAATAGGCTTCCACGAACCCATAGTCACTTTTTCAGCGATCAAGTGGGAAAACTTCTCAACACACAACACAAAAATATAAGGAGATATTGGATCCCCTTGAAGAATTCCTCTCTGAGGAACTATGCAATCCGAAGCCACACCATTTATCAAGACCCTCGAACGATTAGAAGTTATAGAAGCCATTATAACACCAATCATCCAATCAGGAAACTGAACTTCAATAAGCACTTTATAGATAAAACTCCAACTGAGTTTATCATAAGCTTTTTCAAGGTCCAGTTTGATTGCCATTGTACCTTTATTTCCTTTTACTCTCCCCATAGAATGAACCAGCTCCTTTGCTACTATAATATTATCCTGAAGCTGACGATTTGGCACGAAGCTAGCTTGGTAAGGAGAAACTAAATTCTCCATTGTAAGCTTAAGCCTATCCACAATGATCTTGCTCATACCCTTATAAATGACATTACACAAAGAAATAGGCCTGAATTGAGAAACATACATTGGCTTAGGAACTTTGGGAATCAAAGTGATCAGAGTACCGTTGACTTCCTCAATGCTGGAAGGGTTTTCTGCATAATACTTGATATCTCTCCAAATCTGTTCACCAATAAATTCCCAGTTCTTTTTGTAGAATGCCGCGGTATAGCCATCCTCCCCTGGAGCTTTCGAATCTTTCATAGAAAAGAAAGCTCGTCTGACTTCATCTTTTGAAATTGGAGCACCTAAGTTAACAGCAGTCTCATCGTCCACCTTTGGCCAAAGAGTCTGGACCCAAGGACGATCATGGTTTTCTTCAGAAAATAGTTTAGATAAGTAAGCATTTATTACCCGTGCAATGTTGTGATCTTCTCTAATCAAGTTTCCAGCATCATCTTTCAACTCCAAGATCTTGCTCCTTCTACGTCTAACAATTGTTTTCGTATGATAGTACTTTGTATTCCTATCTCCTTGAGCTATCCAAGTAGCACGAGACTTTTCAAACCACAAAAGTTCCTCCTGTTCTAAAACTTGTTCAAGTTCACCCCTTATCTTGCCTTCAATCTTTTCCAAATGGCTTTTATTCTGCTCAGAAATTGCCCTCTGGATACCTTCAAGCCTACCAATCAACCTGTTCTTCTTATGATGGATATTACCAAACACATCTTTATTCCACTGCTTAATAAGAGGAGTGAAATCACGAAGACTATCAACTGTTCTTTGATCCTGACGCCAGTTTTCCTTGATGAAATTGTTAAAAAATTGATGATCTAACCAAAAAGAATGAAAACGGAAAGGGCGTTCCACCCCATCAACTTTGCTTGGCTCTAAGGTAATAAGGATAGGATTATGGTCACTGTTAATACGAGGAAGCACTCGAACCTGGCCTTCATGAAACATCAACCTCCATTCAGCATTGCTACAAGCTCGATCTAAACGTTTAAAGACTCTATCTAAATGAAGAAATCTTGGTCCTCGCCATGTAAATTTAGAACCTATTCCTTCAAGATCAATCATCTTTATATCAGTTAGAAGAGAAGCAAATTTATTACATCTGCTAGTATCAACTGGAGCACCACCACGTTTCTCACTTGGAAAGGCAATTTCATTAAAATCACCTGCAATTAACCAAGGAACCGAGATATCTTCTGATAACTGAAGTAAATCATCCCAAAGTCTCTTCCGAATTTCTTCTCTAGGACTTGCATAGATAACAATATAAAGAAAAGCTTGATGATCTGCCAATGTAACACGAACATGAATAAATTGATGGGTCTGTTTTAATGCTTGAACCTGACACCTATCATTATTCCATAGTAACCAAAGACCTCCCGTAAATCCATGAGCATCCTCCACTATTGAATTATTAAAACCCAGCTTTTTTATTATCTGTATTGCTTTTGAACCACTTACTCGAGGTTCAAGAATAGCTGCCACCTCAATCTTATGCCTTCGAACCATCATTTGAAACGTTGATTTGAGCACTTTTTAGCCGCCCCGCGGCAATTCCATGTAACTAAAGACATTAATCAATGGTAATTTGGCAGGATTGTGGGTCCACTGCCATCCCATTGTCATTGCACTGAGTTTCAGATTCTGAAATCATCTCCACCTCAATATTGAGCTTATGGTTTATTGGGATATGCTTTCCTTTATCTCTACTTGGATCAGGCGCTTTTGGTTGGGACAAGCCATGATCTAAGCCGTTGATATTTTGACCATCCTTATCCACCTCTATTTGGTAACAATCTTTGTTATAATCAGCAACAGTACTCCTAGCCACCATGGAATCTCCACCGCTTTTACCTCCAATGTCCTTACTATTATGAATCGCAACTTGCCTCCTCAAGTTCGTTGTATTATTGTTTGAGGTACCCCTGTCAACTATCTTCCCATTTATTTGATTTTCTTTTTCATGACCTGTCGTAATCCCACTTAACGTAAATCGGTTGGGGTGTTCCTGTAATTCAACATTAGGACGGCTTCTAGGGTTTCTGTGTTTGGACCCTTGAGATGTACTAATATCAATATTAACAGGAGGGCCCACCATATTGACGTCATTATAACAGCATCCGGATTAGTCGCTGGGATATCATGAGTAATATCATCTTCTTTAGAGCCCATTAAAGCAGCGTAACGGGAATTTGATTGATTATCAATCATAACCGGCTGATTTGATTGCGGTTGATTACTCCCTTGATTACTCCATTGATTATTCCCTTGATTACTCCCTTGATTACTCCCATGATTATTCCCTTGATTACTCCCTTGATTACTCCCTTGATTACGCCTTGATTCCCTTCGAACCGGTTCCTGCTTCCTGTTGTCCGCCATTGAAGTTTGAATTTTTGATCGACGTTGACGTTGCACCACCATCCAAGGACCTAATCCATTTTTCTGAAACTCAGCCTCATCTTTTTTCCCGTCTTGATTTTGCTGATTATCCTTTCCTTCAACTGGTATCTCAGGACAACAATCTTTACTATGTCCATAGCACCCACAATGGAAACAAATAAGGCCTAAACCTTCATATTCTATCTGTTTAGTTGCTCCGTCCAACACATATTCACCCTCCAAAGGCTGAGCAAGATCCAGTTCCACGAAAATTCGAGCAAACTGTCCTCTTACATGCTCATTAGTTGTCTTATCGATCTTCAACATTTTACCTAGCCAGTTACCAATACGGCGGAAAAAGGCTTCATCATAATACTCCAGTGGGATACCCGGTAATCGCACCCAAGCTGCAATCTTCATCACACTTGCAGCATTTGGTCTAAAAGCTGGCTCCCAACGTCGAAGTGATAAATAATGGCCTAAAATAATCCAAGGACCACCATTTAGAGCAAAAAGAAGATCATCTTTGTTGCTAAATTGCACCACATAGAATCCATTACCTACATCTGTAACGTTAATCTTTCCAGCTCTAGCCCATAGTATTTCAATCTTC